AATATAAATTTTCATATGCCCAACACACTGACATACAAAAAAATTTGGATTTGCCCATTTTAAGTCAGAGCTCACAAAAAAGCATAATTTTGGGATTTTTGGTCAATTATTTTACAGCATTTTGACCAATTTACATGGGATTTGGTACAAAGAGACTTTTCTACAGGTTACACACATTAACAAACAAAAACAATGGACTTGCCCATTTTTAGTAATTATGGGGAGGGGTCAAGATGTCACAAAAAGCATAATTTTAAGGGTTTTGGTCCACTTCTTAGACATATTTTGTCCAGTGTATGTGAGATTTAGTAAAGAGATACTTCTTGCAGGTTCCAAACAGAGAAACAGACAATTTTGGAATTTTTGTGAACTATTCAGGTGTATGTCAATCAACTTGCATGGAATTTGGTACAAAGGTATGTCCCAAGCAGTGATATAGACAGCTTTTGATTTTCCTGTGTTTTTCACAATTTTTCTGGTGTCAAATTTGGCCATATTGGGATTGTGTGGCAGAGACATGTTGCAATCGCCCATGTTGTTGGCCTCTTTAATTTGGATTTGTGTTACTGACCAATATCTAACAAACACATCCTATTGTTTCACAAGTTGATCTGTGGAGGGTTCATCATACAATACTTTTCTTTAGGTCATTCATCAGTTTCTTTAACAGATGGGTCCTAGTCCATCTGAGATGATATACACCTTAGTTAACCTCATTCAAAAATTGATGGCAAAGAACTTGAACATCATAGAGAAAATCTGACTAGAATCATCACTTGAGCATATTACAACAGTCAATTCCCACTGTTTCTGCTTTTCTGAAGTCTTTTGCCTGGTTTTCTTGAAAATGAATATTCTAGCTAAAGTCATAGGTCTGGGATTTACAGATGGAAGGAGCAACTTGTGCTCATATATTCTAGTTGTAGCATTCTTTTTTACTGTTGTTTACCCTACTGTACATAAATAGTTCAGACATGCAACTAAAAAATTTTGTACCAAAGTATCTACAACAGACCTCATAGCCGTTCAGTTTTTGACACTATACACTAATCTGATGTCTATTAACCTCTTAAGAGGGTATGATGGGTATTTTCATCACATCTGTTTTGTCAGGTTTATTGTAATTGGTATGACGAGTAGGCCCAGCATTGAGTTCATGCACTACGGCACTCAAAGATGGGTCTAACTGTCTTGTGAGGACAATTTTTCTTCCATTAGAAAGCTCCAAAGGTCTTTACATATGTGACTGTGGCAGGGCAACATGGCATTAAGAAAAAGGAAGTGGTCAGATAGCAAGCAAACTGATATTGAATTAGCTTCAACCAACCAAAGTTCTTTGTGTGAATTGATTAGTTCATCATTAGATGAAGAGTGGGTGAATACCTCTGATAGCAAAAGAACTTCTGATAAGCTTCTGATGAAGATAATGAGACTGAAACATCAGCATTGGATGTTCCTTCAGTTTGACCATGGTAGAGAGCACCCAAATTTTCCTTATATTTCAACTGATAAAATTTAGGTGCAAATAAGAACTCTAATGGGAAGCATGTAGATCAAGAACTTATTGATCAAATTGTACAGGAAACCAACAAGTACATCCAGTACCTTTCCTCAAAGTACTAAAAAGATTGCATGTTCACAAGGAGAAAGACACTGATGCAAGCTTCTTGTGTTTCAGGATACACTGCTGAAACTTGAAAATAAGAGGTATTTTACAAGGTATAAAAGCATTGCCATGCCTTTGAGTAATAGTATAATTAAAGAAGAGTGGTATTTTCTGCTGAAGTTTCTACATTTAGTTCATAATAAAAACATTTTACGAGAACCCACCTCTTCTTGACCATTTCAGGAAAAAATTTCAGTCTTTCTATATACCACAGGGGAACATTTCTGTGGCTGAAACACTTCTTGGCTGGACAGTCTCAATTCCTTCCAAACAAAAGCAATTTGGAATAATAATGTATTAACTGTGTGAAAATACTTCAGGCTGTGTATGGAACTTACTCATTTATACTGGAGCTACAACTAAAGATGATGACATATACCAAGATAAACCTATTACATCAAGGATTGTTTTGGAACTCTTCGACCCACTTCTAGACAACGGATACACATTATATCTAGATAACTGATATATCAGCTTAGACTAGACAAGCTTTGACAGATAAAAACTGAATATATAAGGACATTACATCTCAATAACAGGGGTGTGCTGGAGAAGATGAGAGCTGCAAATCTCAAGAAAAGAGAGACAATAGCAACTTTCAGAAGAAAGCAAATGATCCTCAAATGGAAGGATGAAAAGGATGTGACCTTTGTCAGTACCACAAATGATGACAGGATGGAGACTGCTGAGACAAAATAAGCAACAACGAAAAGCTTATAGTTGCTCTGGATTATAACAAGAAGATGGGAAATGTAAACTTGGCTGACAATTACCTATATTACTATTCCATGATGAGAAACTAATAAAAGAAATATTATATAAAACATTTCACCATCTCATGGACAGTTGTGCTCTCAAATCCTATCACGTGCACAAAAAAGCTGGGAAGAAATAACACCAGATTGATGTTCCTTATTGAGCTAGACAAGGACTCTTTGAAAAGTACACTACATCAAGGCTTGTAGCTACCCCAGGGCAGCCTTCAAAATCCTCTAGGTTCCTAAAGTGACATTTTCCTGAAGTCATCCCACCAACAACAAAGCAGAAAAACACCAAATAATGTAAAATTTTTGATAGGTTGTTTAGACAGAGTATTCATAATAAATCTA